CCATCTAATTAACATAGATTTTTAAAATTTAGAATTTTAGTAAAAGTAAACTGACAGCTGATAGGAACCTGTGCTGATAACAACATATAAAAGTTTGAAATGAAAATATTAAATTCTGTGGAAGTTATAAGGATTTGAAATATATCATTACACCAGAACGAGGCTATAAGGCCTAGGGTGAAAATTACATTTCATTTCGCCATAAATTTGTTCACATTTTATCCACGGCTGTAAAACTTTCCAAAAATGTTTATTTCTGGTAGTTCTTTCACATGACAGTGACAAAGTTTTCACATATTACATATTCAGAAACAAATAGACAGACAGCCATTGGTTGAAAATTACATACATTTCTTTGTATTTTCATTTCACCATAACTTTTTTCCTATTTTTTCCAGAGTTCTAAAACGTTCCTAAAACGTTTATTTCTGATAGTTCTTTGATGTTACAGTGACAAAATATTGATATCTATCTTATTTTGGAAAAACACAATTGCAGCCATTAAAGGTGAATGCAATGTCACCTTCAGCTTAAGGTGTTTCGATCGTAATAAATAGCGCTTCGCGCGTATTTTTAAACTCCAACTACGTCGCAAATTTCGATTATATTGCACTCAAATTTTCACAGAAGTAGCAGTGATTATCGATAATTCTTGTCGATAAATTAATTTGCCAAAAAGCGAAGCCATTTGGATAAACGATGTTGTTTGAGCAAAATGATGTACATTCGAACAAATCGAAATTTTAGGTTAAGATTTTATTGAAACTTCGTCAGTATATCAATTATGTTATTAAAAAAAGATTCTGAAAATTTCATTACAATCTCTGCGATGAGTTTCGAGAAAATTAATTTTGAAGAAAAATGAAGGTGTTTTTATTTTGCATCGTTTATCCAAATGGCTTCGCTTTTTGGCAAATTAATTTATTGATAGGAATTATCGATAATCACTGTTACTTCTGTGAAAATTTGAGTGCAATGTAATCGAAATTTGCGACGTAGTTGGAGTTTAAAAATACGAGCGAAACGCGATTTATTGCGATCGAAACACCTTAATTTGCGAAAAAAGCATTCAAGCAATGAAATTGTTTTGTCAGTTGTGTGTGGTGATCGGTGAGATGTTGACCGCCGTCTGGAATTTAAAAAAAATCTTGTATCTTCGACTGCGAATAATTCAGCACCCTAATTCTCTACTATCAAGGTCGTTGATGATATTGACTTCTCCCTTGGACACAAAATATCTCTGTAGACCAAAACGTAAGTTTGTCATTGGTTTTTCTTATACSTTATGGCCATTTTTCATYCTAAAATTTGCGTAAAATGCAATTAAAAGTTCACCCAGTGCCTGTCTGGGCATTTTATGCGAAGCTTTCCGTATCTCCCTTTGTTTCTTTACAAATACTCCAATTTCGAGTTCTCTTGAAATCTCACACTTTTATTCTCAGAGTTAGAAATATTTTGCRCACAAATGAGGCTAACACAGAGCAATTGGAGAATTCGAAACTGGATTATTCTACTAGTGTCGCTTGGCGCTGTGTTTGTCGCTCGTCTTGCTTGTGTTGTCCGAGTCTTTATCGGCAATTATTTTAGCTATATAACAATCCAAACTGTTGCACACATTTGGTGTTTGCACTCATTTTAAGCGTTTTTGATTTTTAAATGGCTTTGAATTAATGTTTAATCAACACTTTGCATTACTCTTTAATTTTGAGTTGTGTGCTAAAGAGAAGTGGAATCTAACTCTACTGTAAATCTAACTTTACTGTATCAACCATTCCCAACAAGAAAACATCGAAAAATAAAATAACTATTGGGCTGTTTTTCCGCAAGAAAATCATTCATTTCCGAGTTAGTTAGCGGTTGCCACTGGCAGCTTGATTTATATAATTTTGCATATACGACTGATGATTAGTAAGTTGATGAAGCRAGCTACAAACTACCTGTCTTTGTCGGCGGTCTCCCCGTTTGAAAATTGCTGGATCTGCCCCTGGTAACYGGTGGTTAACTTATCTCACYCTCCACACAACTGGCCCTTGCTCTGTATTTCAGCTATATGAACCTAGCTACTACATCGTAAGGAAACTGAAAACAAACAGGCCCATAGGAAAAAAAATTATAAACAACAGCATCTCAACATTTTGGTCAAWGAAAAAATTACTAATTATATAAGGAAATAACCTCAAAATGTTAATGTCCTATTGAAACGTTTTTAATAATAATCCAGTTTCGAATTCTCCAATGCTCTGTGTTAGCCTCATTTGTGCGCAAAATATTCCTAATTGTCAGAATAAAAGTGTGAGATTTCAAATCAATTCTATTGTCTTTCTTTTCAAATTCCATGCGTTTTCTCGGGCTATCAATGAAACAAAAGATTATATTGCTTGGTTTTGAGGCTAACACAGAGCAAASCAGAACTCGAAATTGGAGTATTTGTGGTGGACCACTGTAGCTTTTTGCGGTTTTCCGTTTTCTGCGAGCTCTAGCACTTTGAACGTTACTGACAATCATTGCTACTTTTGCTCCTGTCAATCAAAAATCCGAAGTAAACGAACTGCTCTCGTGACTCCTCCCACAAAACCGAACTAAGTCCGACAGTCCGCCATGATGTTTGTTTCTTGCGGATGAATTAGAAAAAGATGCCTTGTGAGTTGAGCTCTGGTCTTTGACGGAGAATTGTTTTCATGCATGTCGACCAAATTCCCCCCAAAAATATCTGCCAAGTCTGTTGGAAAGATATTTGTGCACAAAATGTTGAAGATGTACTGGGAAACTCCAGATATTCGAGATGGCGGACTTTCGGACTTGGTTCGGTTTTGTGGGAGGAGCCACGAAAACAGTTCGTTTACTTCGGAATTTTGATTGACGGGAGCAAAAACAGSAAATGACCGTTAATGTTCGCAGTGCTAGAGATCGCAGAAAAYGGAAAACCTTAGTAAGCCCCTAACCTGATCTTKGCTAATCATTCATTGATATAGGTGAGATGGAAAAATCCAAGAGTGGAAATCCWCGGGAAAACGCGAATTTTCTCTCTCTTCTCTTCATGTCATGGATGTACAAGATCTTGTTGCTGGGAAGAAAAAGAGATTTGACAGGCGATGATCTTTACTCTTTAATGGACAAGGACAAAGCAAGAAACATAATTGATCGCATGGARAGTTGTTGGAGTGATGAGATTACAAGATCGTCGAGGAAACACACCAAACCAAARCTATGGAGAGCACTGCTTCATTTCGTGTCCTTCAAAACCATATTTGTTATGACCACAGCTAAAGTTTTTCATTCTTGTTGCAATTTTTCCTTTGCCGTTATTGTTTGGTATTTCCTAAAGCTTATTAGTGAATCCGATGTTGATTTTGTTAGTGCTGTTCCATATGTTGCTGGTTTATCGATAATAAGCTTTGTTAAGGTGATTCCATTCCACCACATGGCCTTCCATGGCAATGTAATAGCTTTACGTTCAAAGGTTGCTTTTATTGGTCTCGTCTACAAAAAGGTAAACAAATCATTGCGTTTATTCGACTATGTAGCCCCGTGGACACGAGTCCACGTAGGTTTTGTATTGACCGAGATTTTTTATATCGAGAGACAAAAATATATACGTCCACACATTGTAGGGTATACTAACACCCACATGTATTCCTGCGTAACCGGATAAGTCATACGCAGGCATTACAAAGATTTATGGTCGTGAAATGGTATATTTTTTATATTGATGATCCCATTTAATGGGCAAACAATTTACTCCATGATCCAACCTTTCGTTTAAAATTTGATCCCTGATCCAACAAAATTTAGGAAATGCCTTGAATTTTATTACAGCTGATCCCTGATTCGGATTGAAGTAGCTTTCATCCCGATCCCAACGATAAAATCCTGATCCCTGATCCTAGAATAAAGTTGATGAAATACCTCTTAAAGATCTATGCAATTTATGGCTTTATCCGATGGGTAAACTCACAAACTCCATCCCAATCTTAACATTTGAGTTTAATATTGTTCTTCCATAGATTTTGTCTGCTCGACGATGTCGACTTGCCAATTTTACGACAGGACATATAATAAATTTGGTCGCCAACGATACAACTGCGATAGAAAGGTGTCTCTACGAAAATTTCAGTACCTCCACAGCTGCGCCTCTCGAAATCGTCGCGAGCGTGACACTGCTTTGGTGGTTATTTGGATGGCAGGGATTAGTAGGAGCGGTCTATTTCGTATTTGTATGCATACTGAATTTTTCGATGTCCAAGAAATTCGGATCACTTCACGCAAAGGCGGCAGCTGTGACAGATCAACGACTGGCAATTTTAAACAACATCATATGCGGCATTCGGGCGGTTAAGATGTACGCTTGGGAATGGAATTTCCGAGATCTTGTCGAGAGTATGAGAAGGTAGAATAAAACTACTCCTCTTCAATGTTTTGTGATTATGCGCTCCAACTTAAAAAAGTGTGTATCTAAAGCTGGCTCCAATCGTAAGATTAGATCACCGAACAACATCATAGGCCACTTTCTTAGATGGTGTCCAATGTTGAGTGATAATGTCAGGCCTCCAAACAATGTTTCAAACAATGTTTTGGTGAACTCCTGAAATTCTGAAGTTGTCTCATGTTTTCAGATTCATTTTGTGATTTCGTTTGGTAATGTTTTATCAAGTAAACGTTTTATCAACTATTTAAAAATAGGCGCTGCATGGTTTTGGTTAAAATGAGGAACTAATGCGTCCGCCATCTTGAAAAGTGGGACTCGAATCACTAAATTATAACTACTAAAGGAATTAAAAGCTTTTTCAGCTATTGTCAAGTTGATACAAGTTAATATATAATGATAGATTACTTGTTCCAAGGCACAACATAGTRATTCGTGTCTCACTTTTCAAGATGGAGGACACATTGTTCTCCGAAAATACCGATGCTTGTATTATTTATAAAAGTCAAATTAATGAACTTGATTTCTTCTAAGGTTTTACGTTTTTTGAACTTAACCACATTTATGCATTTTTTTCTTCAGAAAAGAGATTAGTATTTTTCGGGAAAGGAATCTGATCTACACTGTGTTCGCCGCGAGCTTTCCCACAGCTACACCAATTGCTCTTCTTATCACAATTGCTACACTTATGTATACTGGGGTACCCTTAACGACATTCAGTGTTTTTACTCTGTTGGTTTTATTGTCGCTTGTAAGAACCACCGTTTGTGTTAATACGACCATTCCAGTCTTGCATTTCAAGGACGCTATCGCTTCATTGAGGAGAATTCAGGGCATAATAACAATTTTGGCTGAATCTGACACTATCGTACAGAGTATGCAAGGAAATAATAGCTTCGATGATATGGGGGAAATTCAATTTAAAACAAAAGGAAAAGATCACTCTCGAGGCGCATTTGGTAATCCTTCTGGAAATAGTGTAGTTTTGCTTCACTCAACAAGGTTAGCAAAAGAAGAATCCCCCTCTACTGAAACTCTATCAATGGAAAATGCATCTGCAGTTTGGGATACGCAACGTGCTAATTGCAGCCTTCAAGACATTTCTTTGGAAATAATGCCAGAGCAGCTCACAATAGTCACTGGTCCTGTTGGAAGCGGCAAAACGTCTCTATTGCTAGCTTTTCTCGGAGAACTCTTTCTTAAGAGCGGTGTTGTTCGAGGACAAGGAACCATTGCATACGCAAGCCAAATTCCTTGGATCTTTTCTGGGACAGTTCGTGAAAACATTCTCTTTGGAAGGTGTTTTGATGCTGAAAAGTATCAACAAGTTCTTCAAGTCTGCGAACTTGAGACAGACATGAAACACTTCGAAAAMGGTGACTTGAGCTTTATTGGTCATAGAGGAGTTTGCTTAAGCGGTGGTCAGAGAGCGCGAGTTAGTCTAGCCCGTGCTTTGTATTCTGAGGCAGATGTATATTTGTTAGATGATCCGTTGAGTGCTGTAGACGCCAAAGTAGGAAGTCATCTGTTTGAAAAGTGTATACGTGGAGCTCTTTGCAAAAAGAAGATAATACTAGTTACCCACCAGATTCAGTACTTGGATAAAGCTGATCAAATAGTGATCATGGAAGATGGTCGGATAGAATTCAAAGGCAGCTACGATGAACTTCGGCAAGCTAATCTTCAAATCTGCGACACGCAAATCTATAATAAGAAACCCATGGAAAAGGATGAACGCCATTTGACCAGTGGATCAACAAAGGTCAGTGACGAGAGTCTACAACTGGAATTAGAGGATGACGGAGAAGAATGTGCAGCTGGTTCTATCAACTTGAAAGTTTACTGGTCATTCTTCAGATCGGGTTTGCCTGTCTTTGGAGTTGTACTTCTTTGCTGTACTTTTCTGATCGGTGAAGGTAACGCTAACATAATTGATCCTGAAACGCACAAGACATTCTACCGATAAAATCCCCCGAAATGAATAAGGAAGACTTGATATAATATAAGTGATATTCAATTTGGTGTTGAACTTTTATTTTTTTGCATGATAGTGCACCATTTTTTCCCAAAATTTGGCCACTAGTGAATTACTTGCTGGTTTAAAAAAATATATGAACCAATCAATTTTTAATATAATAAATTTATAAAAATGTGTATTTGCCTTAATTTTGGTATATCAATACTTGCATACTTTTAGTTTTCCAGATAGCTCCGAGTTGGTGGCTTTCACAAATGGTGAACATGAGTTATGAAGACCAAAAGAGTGCATTTAGCTTTGGTGTACTCTCCAGCACGGTTGCCATGACATTACTGTTCACAGTTGTGTCATTTTTATTCCTTCTTCTTGCTGCTCTTCGATCGTCAGCGAATCTTCATGACCGGATGGTTGTAGCTATCCTCAAATCACCAGTCTTATTCATGGATACGAATCCTGTTGGAAGAATAATGAATAGATTTTCCAAGGACACACGATGTATAGAACAGTTTATGCCTAGAACAATGTTGATTGCAATTGTGTCTGCGTTACAATTTGTTGGTGGCATGATACTGACTGCATTAGTCGAATACTGGTTTGTGATTGCAGTTGTTCCCATTTTTATTCTATTTTCCTTTATTTGCTGGTTCACCTTAAAGAGCAGTCGGGAGCTTAAACGTTTGGAATCTATTCGATGTAGTCCCATTTATGCCCACATTGCTGATTCAATCAAAGGTCTGGAGGCAATTCATGCAGCCAAAATGGAAAAGGAATTTGTTAGTCAGCTTTGCGGGTGAGTCGTGATATTGTCATTAATTCATACTTATATATTGGAGTGGTTGGGCCTTTTTCCCTGTAATTTTGGTGGAGACATTTTAGCATTATTTTTTTAGGTGCGTCCAGTTCCAAGGAAAGGGTATTCATTCTGGATTACTCTCGTTTTTTGAAGGATATACCATGCAATCTGGGAACGTTAGTTCGCTAAACAGTGACATAAAAAATACGATAAAATAAATAATAAATAATAACAATTAAAAAAAAACAAAGTCGCTGCATTTAAAGATGGTGCTGCAGGCCTTCGGYCTGGACATTGTAATTACACCATAATTTACTTTTCTCGATCATCAACTGATAAGACTCCCAACACAACMCTTCTTAACAATGTCTCAAATTTCAGCCGTAAGTTTTATCTGGACTGATCGAGTAGCAATGCAAATAATTGGCAASTATGATTTAGTCTGGAGAGGCAAACAAGATTTGTCCAATGTATCTTGATTTGTTATCATCTTTTCAGATACCTGAACGACCACACACAAGCTTTTTATCTCGACAAAGCGTGCAAAGCATTCCTCGCCCTTCACATTGATATGATTTCTGCTTTGTTTCTTACCTGCGTAGCTGTTGGATCACTTCTAGTTACACAAGATCCTGGTATGGTGCAATATAAATTCCGATGTTTGTTCCATTGAATTGAACATGTAGGGCTACAAGGTCACTTCTCTGCAGAGCTCCGAAAATGTTACTTTTTTTACTTATTTTTATTGATTACAATTACAATTCCTATTGCAACACTACTATTCAAGCACTATACAACACATTTACTAAAAAACTATCTAATCTAAGTATGCTACAAAAAAAACACTGATTTATGTTCCTTGTTCCTTGTTGGGACAAGCAGAAGCTCTCTTAATGATAATTATACTATAATATAAGATATTGACTCACCAAATTAAAAAAAGGAATTGCATTCTATTTATAGATCATTGCACTGATATGATTTAAAGTATAATCGTCGTTGTTGTTTGTCCAGGTATTACAGGACTTCTGGTAGCTTATTCTTTTGAACTGGTGGACCTTACTGGATACGGTGTGGCGAAATACGCCGACACTGAAAATTTTATGACATCTGCAGAGCGAGTCATTAGATACACTCAAYTACCTTCTGAACCAGCTTACGACAGACAATCCAAACCTCCAGACAACTGGCCTGACAAAGGTGCCATCACAATCCAAAACTTGTCGTTATCTTACACGCACGGTGGAAAACCCGTACTTAAAAATATCAGCTTGAAATTGCTGCCAAAACAGAAGACTGGAATTGTTGGAAGGACTGGCGCTGGAAAATCTTCTCTCGTTGCAGCATTGTTTCGAATGCCAGATCCACAGGGAAAGGTGTTGATTGATGGAGTTGATTTGGGTGAGATAGATATTCAGGCGGCACGCCGATCAATGGCTGTTATCACCCAAGATCCCGTCCTCTTTGCATCAACCTTGAGGAAGAATCTGGATCCTTTCGAACAGTTTCCCGACGAACAGATCTGGGCCGCCTTGGAAGAAGTCCAGCTAAAGAACACCATAAAAAATATCAAAGGTGGACTGAGTTTCACTATCGGAGAAAGCGGGTCTAGCTTGAGCGTCGGAGAAAGACAGCTTGTATGCCTTGCAAGAGCCTTGCTGCTGAGAAACAAAGTACTGATAATGGACGAAGCAACGGCCAACGTAGATTTCAAGACGGATCAACTTATTCAAGAGGCTATTCGAGGCAAGTTCCAAGACTGCACAGTGATTACAATCGCACATCGATTGAATACGATCATGGACTATGACAAAGTGTTGGTGATGGAGGAAGGTTGTGTGGTAGAATACGACTCTCCACAAGTTTTAGCCAATAAAGTTGACAGTGTGTTTTCGGAACTGTTGAGAAACCAATCAGCAGAGTAGACTCGACAAAACTCTTTTAGAAAAATACTATAGAGTAGAGAAGATGAAACCTTCAATAGCAAAACGACAAATGCTAATACTAGTTACAGATATTTCAAAAATATCGTTAAGTACTGAATCCTGCTGTGATATATTGCAAAGTGCATACAAAACGCATTTTTGACCAATAAACCTCGTTCTGCCTGTGACAAAAATGATTATTTTTAACTAAATAAATTTTATATTGTTTTTAGTCTGTTGTTTGTATTTCTGTCTTAATAGTCTGACTTTGATATCCATTTACATTCACAAGGCTCGACCAGACTCTGTTTAGAATCCAAGATATTTGTTTTACTTTATCCAGATTTATAAGCAGTTTTGATATTTTCTTCTCTTTCATCTATTCAATAATCATCTCCCATTATTTGTTTTGAGAATTGAATAAGAATCAACGCCCTGACAGCAAA